GGGGGACAGGAGAGGGTGTAGGAGTGGGGATGGGGGACAGGAGAGGGTGTGGGAGTGGGGATGGAGGACAGGAGAGGGCGTGGGAGTGGGGATGGGGAGACAGGAGAGGGTGTAGGAGTGGGGATGGGGGACAGGAGAGGGTGTAGGAGTGGTTGGCAAAGGCAGGCAGGTATCTGTGAGTCTGAGGTCAGCCTGGTCTACCATAGCAAGTTTCAGGGTCTGAGGGTACCACATAATGAGATCCTTGCTCTCTAGTGTACTCTTACCCCCCTTTCTCTCTCTCTTTTTCTGTCTCTCCCTGACTCTCTTCTCCCTGTGTCTCTTTGTCTCTCTCATGCACACACGTGCACACATGTACATGTTCACTCTCAAAAAATAAAAGCAAGCTAAACCCCGCTACATGTGTTGGTGAGCGCCGCTCTGTGTATCTGCCTGATGCTAACAGTTGGTCCCCTTCTTCTCCACAACCCTGCAGAGTAACCTGATACATTCCCTGGGACTGAGCCACCATCTGATCACACTGAATTTCCTCATCATCTCTTTTGGCAAGAAAAGCGCAAGGTCTTCTCCGAAAGTGAAGGTGACGGACACCAACTTCGATGGGGTGGAAGTCCGAGTATTTGAAGGTGCTCCAAGACCAGACGAGCCGCTGCGACGCAGCGTGGTCTTTATCCATGGAGGAGGCTGGGCCTTGGCTAGTGCAAGTAAGTCCTTGTCACCTGTCGGTGTGCTTGGCGCTGGGCGGGGTGTGATCCCCGGGACCGTTGGCTCTCCTGGAACATCCTAGTTCCTATGGTGCCCAGGTGGTGCCTCTTTGGTTTATATGGTTTAGAGATGTTTCTCCTCCTTCCTCTCTTGTTTTCTTCCTGTCTTCCTTCATGTCTTCTCATCGATAGCACTGGGGGTTGAAAGTGTTGCTTCGTTCACGTGAGACAACGGCTCTACAGCTGAGTGCCAGCCCTAGCCTTTGTTGATTTACTTCCTAGTGCAGACGGCTTTGAGAGGCTTCTCTGAGCTAAGAATGGAGCTTAGATGGCAGAGTGCTGTACGCCATGCATAAGCTCCTGTGATCTAAATCATAGACTTACTGTAATCTGGTGAGATTAGCTTTCCGTACGAAAATAAGCTCTACATTATTATTCTCTCTCTCTCTCTCTTTTTGTTCTGTTTTGGTTTTTGTTTTGTTTTGTTTTGTTTTGTTTTTCGAGACAGGGTTTCTCTGTGTAGCTCTGGCTGTCCTGGAACTCACTCTGTAGACCAGGCTAGCCTCGAACTCTCGAACTCAGAAATCCGCCTGCCTCTGCCTCCCAAGTGTTGGGATTAAAGGCATGCGCCACCACCTCCCGCTCTCTCTCTTTTTTTTAACCAGGAGTTAGCATACTTACTAGCACATGAGGCAGTTATCTGTAGCCCTTATCAACTTGATTTTGAAGGCTTCTTCTTACAAAATAGAGCAGGTGTTGCTTAATACATGGTAACTCAGCATTAGCTTTCGAAACCCAAAGAGTAAAATACCGCAAAGTATGAAGCAGTTAAAAGGAAACACACAGTGCTTCCAAGCACAGAGGTCTTTTCTTTGGAGTCGGACAGCTCTCATGGGCAGAACCAGTTCGAAGAAGCAGGCTGCTTAGCTCCTCATCCTGGGCAGAGCCTGTCTCAGAAGCTCAGGGCTTCTGCCTGTAGTGACCATGACCTCCTTCCTCATCCACAGTTCAGAGATTTTGGTATTCTCCATACAGAAAACATATCAACAGACTTGGAATACGGTCCAGCAGACAGAAGTGCTAGCCACCAGGCCTGATGACTTGAGTTCCATCCATGGGACCCAAGTGGTGAGAGGAGAATTGACTCCCTGAACTTGTGCTCTGACTTCTACGTGGGCATTGTGGCACTGACACAAGATACACACAAATAAAAGTGTAATGTTAACAAACTAGAAAGAAAAAGTGATTCAAACATGGTCTCTTCCTTTATTATGTTTTTATATGAACTTGTAATGCACAAAATATAAAATGGACAACTCTCTCTCACAAATCCATCTTTGTTTATACCCATCAGGTATTCTGTTAGTCACTGGCTAGTTCCCACTGACTACGTGAGTTTGTTCAAGACCTGACTTTTTTTTTTTTTTTTTTTTTGGTTTTTCGAGACAGGGTTTCTCTGTGTAGCCCTGGCTGTCCTGGAGCTCACTCTATAGACCAGGCTGGCCTTGAACTCAGAAATCCGCCTGCCTCTGTCTCCAAGTGCTGGGACTAAAGGCGTGCGCCACCACTGCCCGGCAAGACGTGACTTTTAGTGCAGACACTCATAGCTGTGAGCAGACCTGGTCCATGAGTCATCACTGTATCAGTTGGGTCTTCATTGCTATGACAAAATATTGAATCAACTTAAGAAAGGAGGGATGGAGGGAGGAAGGAAGGACGAAAGGAAGGAAGGCAGGAAAGGAAGGAAGGAAAGAAGAGTTTATTATAGTTTACATTCTGAGGGCACAGTCCATAGTGACAGGAAGGAAGGCCATGGGCAGAAACATGAGGACAGGAAGGAAGGCCATGGGCAGAAACATGAGGTGGCTTGTTACATTGTATCTACAGTTTTGTTGTTGTTTTGTATAGTTGTAGTTACTTTTTTTCTTCAGTCCTGGAGCAGGACCCATGGAATCCTGCCATCCCCAGTCAGGATGGGTCTTTCTTCCCAAGTTGGCAAGTCTAGAAACTTGTCACAGACATGCCCAGAGGTGATTCTATATCTCCATCAAATTGACAACCAGCGCTAAGCATTATAGTCACTCTTGTATGCTAGAGACAGAGATCTAAAAATGAATAAGGTAGGGTCCCTGCCTTGGACAGAGGGAGAAAGTGGCACTGGACACGAGTCAGGTGAGATGTCCTATCCTAGACAGGAAGGACAGATGGCAGAATGGTGTGGTCATGAGAGTCAGCCTAGCTACTGTGCCTTAGTTTTGGCTGGTGTGTCTGAGGGAGAGCTGGGCTGGTATGTGTGCAGGCAGACATGCAGTCCTTAACCTGCTGCTTCTAAGAACTTACTTTGCAAGTCACTAAGGAAGGAAATATTTGGCCTGCTGAAACAGTAAATCTTTTTTGCTGTTTACTTGTTTGTTTGGGGGCAGGGTTCTGTGTACTTAGGCTAGCTTCACTATGTAGCCATGAATGACCTTAAATTTCTGATTCTACAGCCTTCAGCTCCTGAGTGCTGGGATTACAAGTGTCTGCTCCCTCCCCCAGTTAATGTGCCCTTAGGTTCAAACCCAAAGCTTCATGTTTGCTAGGCAGGTGCTCTACCAACTGCGCTATATCCCAGTCTGGTGAGTTGTAAAGTACTGGAAGGAGAATTACAAGAAATCAGTCCTTACCTCTTAAAATTATATTGTTCCTGAGGGCATTTGAGTCCCCTTTCTAGAAAATGTTAAAACTTCCTAGAACTCTGCTTCTCTGCTGTAAAGAAACTACCCTTTTCTTCATATTGGTAATTTTCCTGAATCTCGGCAAATGAAGATATTAAAAGTATAAAATCTTATAATTCTAAGGAGGAAACTGCTAATTTGCCGTGATCTGTCTTGATAGTATATATTTGAAGAGCTTCGACATCAGAATTGATGTGGTGCTTTTCATAAGCCCAGCATGAAATAAATGTTTAGTCAGTTAAAAACATATTCAAAACTCACTCAGTACTGATTTCCTCTTATAGTAATTACATTTTATCATAAAATAGGTTTAATTTTTGCAGTTGAGTGTGTCTGTTTGCCTTTCGTTCTTCCCTCCTTTTCTGAACCATCCTTCCCCCTTCCCACCTCCCCCTTCCCTTCTCCTCCCTCCTTCCTCTTTTCTCCCACTCTCCCTAACCCCTTCCTGTTTTTTGTTGTTTTGTTTTTTTGGGGGGGTGAGCAGTTTCACATATTCCAGGGTAATGTCCATGGCAGCCTTGAACCCCTGATCCTCCTGCCTCTGCCTCTCAGGTGCTGAGATCAGAAGCAAGTGCTATACACATGGCTCACATGCATTTTTTCAGTGTTTGTTGTTGTTATTATCTTAGTCTAAAAACAATTTATACTCAGCAGTGTTTGAGAGTGGATAGCCTGAATGGCTGCCTTTGTAGTGATTAATTCTTCTCTCTTAGAAATCAGCTACTATGACCAGCTGTGCACAGCAATGGCTGAGGAGCTGAACGCCGTCATCGTTTCTATTGAGTGAGTAGCTACCACTAGTCACAACTTTTACTCAGATTTTTATTTATTTATTTTTTGTATGTGTCCATGTCTGTGTGTGGGTATGTGCACATGAGTCCTGGTGCCCACAGAAACCAGAAGAGTGTATCAGATTCCTAGAACTGGAGTTGCTGGTGTTTGTCAGCTGCCCAATATGGGTGGTTGGAAGAAAACTCTGGTCTTTTGAAAGAGTACTAAGCCCTCTTAACTGCTGAACCATCTCTCCAGCCTCCAATAGTCATAATTGTTATTAAGAAGACATTTTTTTTTTTTTGGTCAGCAGTGGATATTGCACCATAGACAAACAATGAAATGTGTGCACATTAGCAACAACCACAGGGCTAGTGTGACAACCTTTGAGAGTACCTGAACTAAGTCTGTTACGTTCTTTACAAGACATACAGTCACTCTCTCTCTCTCTCTCTCTCTCACACACACACACACACACACACACACACACACACACACACACCATATAGGATGTAAAGCAATCAGTTATTGGCCTCATCTCTGCCTGGGTCCTATGACAAGGAAGTTAAAGGGTAAAGCCTGCCCGGGCTGCTTCCGAGGTCTCTCCTTGGGTTCTCAGCTGGACAATGGCCAGCCAGTAAGGGAAGCCAGGGCAGTGCTGGCTCTCCTTGGGCAGGATAAACTTAAATAAAATAGTTGGCTTCTTATCAGAGAAGTATTTACAGAGAAGGTAAGTGGCTCATCTGGACCTAAGGCCAATCATCATAGGACCTCCCAGGGGAGGGGAAGGGCCAGCACAGGTAGCAGGTGAGTTCACACATTTCCCAAACCACTCTTCCAGAAGAATGGAGGAACAGCGGAGTGAGCGAGGCCTGGGAGAAAGCATGCCAGGTCGTGTCCACCTCCACATGGCTGTTCTCTCCATCAGGAGTCAGTCAACCCACAGTGTTCAAGACCTGGAACTTCTCCCTCAGGTTTCTCACCCTACCCTGTTTGTTTGTGTCTGCTGAGTCCCTGGGACCGTCTTCTTTGGGCTGGTGCTTTGCAGACTTCTGGAAACCTTGGCCCTGTCCCTTCAAAGCTACTGGGGAACTTGGTCCCTTCCCACTGTCTTCCTCCAGCCCTACAGCGGTGTTAGGATGGGGCCCCTTCTCCATGATGATGTTCTCCAGGGTAAGGTCTGCAGTGACATACAGGGTGTCACCTCCATTCAGTTGGCTTTGGGGAGGAGACTCGGGAGGTGGAGGCTGGGAGACCTCCCCATCTCCCTGGTTCCTGTTGGTGTTCAGGCTGTAGCAGCAGTCCACCTTGCCAGACATAGGAGGTTCTATAATGTTCTCAGGCAAGGAGTGGCTCCTGTTGACCAGCAGGCTCCGGGGCCAGCTGCTCTCGGCCTGAGCAGTCTTGTTGTGGGAGGTATATTTGGAGCAGAGCTCTCGGACATCAGGCCAGTTGAAGGTCTCAGTGTCAAAGGGGCTGAGAGGGCTCTGAGTGGAGGCCCGAGATCCGGGTGAGGTGGCTCTTGGGCTGACAGCTTAAGGGCTGAAGGAGAAATGGTGTGGAGAGGTCTTCACAGCAGAGGAAGACTTGGAGGTGCCCTGCTCTTGAGCCACCAGCTGCTCATAGATGAGGAGGGATAGCACAGGCTTCCTCCTGGCTTTGCCCCCGACAGCTCTCCAGCTTCCTCAGGCAGGCCAGAAATAGACGGGACCTGTTCATCCTTCTCAGGAGTGGCTTTTTCCCACTGTAGAGGTGGCCAAGCTGCCTTGATGTTCTTAATTCGGAGGCTGTACTGGCGGGCCAACTGGTAGACCTTGTTTTTGACACTTTCACTCACATGTCTATCCATCACGTGGGAGAACTGCACAATACGGGGGTGCAGTGGGGTAACCAGCTCCCCCTGGACACCACTGCTCAGTTCTTTCACCAGCTCTTTCAGCTCCTGGGCCAGGTGGGCTGGGCTGGGCTGCTTCGTCGGGGAGGCACTTTCTGGAGAGGCGAAAGCAGACTCCTCAGTGATGGCACCCAGCTCATGCTCCTCCAAGATGAACAGGGGCTCTTGTAGCTCAAAGCCATTGGCCTGGCTCTGGCCAGACCCCATCCGCGGACTTCTCTCTGAAGATTCCACTCTTTCCCATATCTTCGCAATTTCTGAAGATGGGCGGAACTCTGCATCTGTGATGGGAGCTGGGGCCCCTTCGTCTGTCCAGCTGGGACCTGGGAGGTCAAACAAGGTCCATGAGGCTGGCTGAGAACTCCCCAGCCTCTTGTACCTAACCGGAGCTGCTGGCTCTGCATCTGGCTTGGGAAGGCTGTTGAATCTGGACACAGAGCTGCTCACCAGTCCTGCTGACAGATGCTGAAGTTTGCATCGTGGTGCTCTGCATTTTCATAGTAGTTCTTAATTTTGTCCAGCAGCTGTCGGTCTCTGGTAGACAACGCGGATTCCTTTTTCTTGCATGAAGATCTGTCCGGTTCCGTGGGGCAGCCTGAGCTTGCACTTGGAGAGTCTGTCCCATTGACAGAAGGGCCATTGTTTGTAACCATGTCTACACCAGTGATCACTTCTGGAGTGGGTGGGTTGCTGAGGGAGTCCCCAGGGCTGCTCCATCGGGCTAGGCCCTTCTCACTACCCTCCAGGCTGAGGACCCTGCTGCTCTGGCTGATAAGCCGTGGTGTCCCGAGGCCACTGGACTTGCCATCCTCCATCGACAGGCTGCTCTGCGGAGAGAAGCTACTGGCGAACCTCTCAGCAGTGACACTGGTCCAGCACAGAGGGTGGCAGGAGGCTCTCGGGTTCCTGGGCGGCTCTCATGTCTTCCTCTTCTTCCTCCTCACTACTCAGGGCCTTAAAGTCTTCAGAGCCCTCAGGCTCTACAAAGTCCACCTCACCAGCTGGGTTGTCCACTCCTAGCAGCCCCGTGGGGGCATGAAGCTGTGTCTCCATGGCTTCCGGAAATTCTGGGTCTGAAAGCATCTCTTCGGTGCTGGGACCTTCCAAGGTAGTAAAGGCCTCCTGCTTGGCCCCAGGCTCAGGATCTGTCTCAACCTCTGGCAGAGACGAAACAGACTCAAAGCTCATACGTTTCTCCGAACTGGTTGGAGACCGGTTACTGGGCCTTCTGCAGCTTTTAGAGCCTTCAGACTCCCTGTGTCTCTTCCCCTGCTCTGCCACTGCTAGACTCTCTTCCTCCTCTTCCTCCTCCTGGGAGCTCTGGCCCAGGCACCTTCTCGATGCCATCATGCCCTGCCAGGTCCTCCAGAGAGACCGGGAAGGTCTGCTGTTGCTGCTCTTCCTCCTCCACTATCTCCTCCTCTTCCTCTAGCTACTCCCTGGCAGCCCCCTCAGCCTCTGGCTGCTGATCCTGCGCACGGGGTGGCTGCCCAAAGTCTAAGAGGGCTCTGGCACTGCCTGCAAGCTTCATTCTCATTACTCTGGCTGCTTTCTCACTCAGTTGCCTGAGCAGGTGTCTGGTGGGCTCCGACTTTCTATGGCCCTTAAGGCCTGGCATCTCGAATTCTTGCTGCCTGCTGGGACGTGTTGCCCTGCTGAACAGGGTATGACCAGGCTCAGACTGCCGACATCCTTGGCGCACGTGGGTAGACACCTCATCCTGGGAGGACTAAACCTTTTTCATCCACTCTGGGCTGCAGCATTACCTACTGGTATAATAGGAGTCCATTTTCAAGATGGCTTCCTTGGCCTTCTAGGGTATGGTGGCATGGTGGTTCTCCAGGATGAGCCTCTTGATGTGATGGGTTCAGCTCCGTTTCTCCTCCACTGTCTTGGCCTGGATACTATACTGTTGCTTGCTGTGCTTATAGTGGGTGATGGTTAAGCACAGAGAGTCTTTTGTGCTCTAGATCAGCATCATCGAGGAGCACGGAATGTGACCCTTGTACAGGAAGTGATCGCCTCACTTCTTGAAGAACGTTCTCTCATTGTGCACACGGTGTACACAAAAGGTGGCTTCCAGGACCAGTTCCCCATAGGTGGTCAGGTCTGGTCCCTTCCAGTTAATGAGCAGTGACTGGATCTCCTGTAGCCGAACTGCCTGTTCGTGTCTCCTCTTCATATCATTGCTGTACCGGGCCACGCATGTCATGGTGTCAATGGCATCCTCTACCACCTCAAAGCCATCCTCTTCTTCATCAAAGTGTTTGGCAATTTCCTGGAGCAGCAGGTGGTACTTGAGGATGCGCTGGACAGGCTTCAGCAGATATGATCCCAGAGGCAAAGAATGCTGCAGCAGCTCCTGCCGGTCTCAGAAGAACTTGGCTTGCTGCTTGTTTTGGATGCACTCTGTGAGGGCTGCCACTGAGTTGGGGTAGTTGTTGCAATACTGAGTGTATATATCAAACTCTTGGTTCCTTTCCACGAAGCAGCTGGCCACTGCCACAGGGTCACTATTGCAGCTGTCCAAGTCTCTGAGAAGCTGGCTGTTCAGTGCATACATGCGCTCTATGTTCCCAAAGAGGGCGCTCAGCTCACTTGCTCTGGCTTCAGGAGACTGGGAGTGTCAATGATCTTCAAGAGGTAGCCCTCCACAATGCTCCGCTGGTCCTGCACATACGTGCGCTCTGTTTCCAAGATCTCTCGCACCACCCGGCCCAGATAGCTGAGCTTGTGATGGGCAGGACTTGTCCCTGCACGCCCTTTGAATGGGGAGAGAGGTCCCTTCATGTTCAACCAGCCGTTGGAGTTGTTGTTGCTATTGGGAACATGCCAGCCCCAAGGGGAGTTTGAAAGTTGCTCTCGGAAGCCGCAGAAGCCGCCGCCCATGGCTGGTCGCCCCGAGGTCCCAGCCTCCGCCCGCTGCGAGCACCAGACTCCGGGGGACCCCTGAAATGCACAGGGTTCCCCAGCACCCGGCAGGAAGTTGCAGCCAAACAGAGTCCAGGCTGTGGCGGGAGGGAGGGAGAGGAGGAGAGAGGGAGTCAGGGAGGGGCGGACTAGGAATGTTTCCAGTGGGTGAAGACTGCGGTCGCTCGTGGCAATTGGTGGCTGGGGG